GCCATGCAGAATGCGGAAGGGGTGTTTGTGGCCAATTTGTTGTGCTATTCGTCCAGCGAAGAAACCATTATTCATCTGTTGGACGGGGAGGACTGTGCCCTACAATTTTTGCGCGATTTAGATGATCTCACGGACCTCCCGGACACAGAGGGTGAACGGGAGATTCTCGTGGTGTTTCACAATTTGAAAGGCTTCGACGGCATGTTTCTTCTCCATGAACTGTACCAGCAACAACGCGAGGTGGTGGATCAACTGACCGTGGGCGCTAAAGTGTTGTCTTTCAAGAGCGGACCCGTCAAATTCATTGACTCGTTGTGTTTCTTGCCCATGCCACTCGCCTCTTTTCCCAGCACCTTCAATTTGACCGAATTAAAGAAGGGCTTCTTTCCTCATTTGTTCAACACCCTCGATCACCAACAGTATGTGGACCGCATCCCCGATTTGGAATTTTATGATCCCGAGGGCATGATGGCCAAAAAGAAAGACGAACTGACGCGTTGGCACGCGGACCAAGTGCGTCGTAATGTGCCCTTCCATTTCCAGCAAGAAATGATCGAGTACTGCAAATCGGATGTGGCTCTGTTGAAAGCGGGGTGTGAAGCCTTTCAACAAGAATTCGAACGGCAGGCCGGTTTCAATACCATGGCCAAATGTATCACGATCGCCAGTGCTTGCCATCTGTATTGGCGCAAGCACCATTTGACCCCCGACACCATTGCCGTCGAACCTCTGGGGGGCTGGCGAGGGGCCCAAGTCAACCAATCCCTCAAGGCCCTGCAATGGCTGTACTACCAAGAACATCTCCTTCCCAAGCAGGGGGCTAGTGTCGACCGCATTCGACACGTCCGTAACGGGGGCGAACAGTCGGTCCGCACCATCGTGAACAGCTATTTCGTCGATGGGTACGATCCCCTGACCCGCACTGGCTACGAGTTTCATGGGTGTCTTTACCATGGCTGTCCCCGCTGTTATCCCAACCGTTCCGTCAAGCATTATGCGGTGCCGGACCGAAGCGTGGAGGAACTCTATCAGGCCACGCTCTCCAAACGCATGGCCCTGCTCCGAGCAGGTTACACGGTGATCGAAATGTGGGAGTGTGAGTGGGACCGCCTGGTAGACAATGAGCCTGCAGTATCTCAGTTTCTTCGTTCATTCGATCTGGTCGCGCCCTTGGAACCCCGTGAGGCCTTTTTTGGGGG